GGGTCTTGGCCTGTTCAAGGATTCTTCTCCATTCTGACCTGTTTCGTGCTTTTTTTTTCCAGTTTTTAATTTTTAATGTTGTTATATCATTTTCTATTTGTTCTACGTATCTCAGCTTCGGTCTTCCTCTTGTTCTTTTTCCTACTGGCACTTGTTTGAATATTTTGTTTGGTATTTCCGTATAAATATGTTTAACGGGATATTAAACATTTCCTAATTATTTCATTCTTCTTCTTCTTCCTTCTAGTATGTAGGCTCTAAAGCCTGTTTCTTCTTCAATATTAGCCTCCTAAATTGTTTAAATTGTCGCATCATTTTTTTCTTGGTCTGCCAATACTTCTTCGTCCATTTGGTGACTTATCTCGTGCTATTCGTACTATTCTATCCTCTATCCTCTATCCTCTACCGAACCGGTCATTCTACTGATGTGTTCGTTCCACAGCTGTTTTCGTTTTGTCACCCATCCATTTATGTCTTCTATATTGCGTGCTCTTATTATGTTTCTCCGCTTCTCTCCCTATCCAACAGACATTTCTCTGATATTCGTCGGAGTATTTTCATCTCTGTTGTTTCTAGCAGTCGTCTCGTGTTAGATGTGTCAGGTCTTGTCTCCGCCGTGTATGTTAATATAGGTCTAATTGCTGCTTTATAGATTCTTGCTTTCGTGTCTTGTCTTAGGTGTTTGTTTTTCCAGATTGTGTCATTAAGAGAACCTGCCGCTTTACTTGCTTTTAATCTTTGTTGTCGTACTTCTTCTTCAACATCTCCGTAACTAGTTATATTTATTCCCAGATATCTAAACTTTGCTTCCTGCTTTATTATTTTCCCATCAATTTTGATTTTACACCGTAGTGGGTATTTACCACATTTGGTTTTTTTCTGATGATATTATATTGTATTTCTTAGCTGTTGTATTGAAGATCTCGTCTTCTGTCTCGGCGATTAATGCGGCGTCGTCTGCATAATATAATATTTGGATTTCTTTGTTCCCCATTCTGTAGCCATGACCTTTACGTACTGCTTGTATTATTTCGTCCATTATTATATTAAAGAGAAGTGGGATCAACGAGTCACCCTGTCTAACTCAGCTTTGTACTGGTATACTCTGTGTTAGTTTTCCATTTATTCTTGCCTGTATTTGATTATGTAGGTAGATGTTTTCGATGGTTTGTATAACATTGATTGGTATGTTTCTTTTATACAGTAGGTGTAAGACTTCTTCGACTTGGATGCGATCGAAAGCCTTTGTCAGGTCTATAAAACATAGGTATGCTCTAATTATTTCATGAATCTAGAAAAGACTTACGTTTGATTTAAACGCTTTGATTTAATTCGTACAACTGTGATGTGCTAAGACACAGCGAACGGAGTGTAGAAGAATAGCTGTAGTAATAGATACAATAAGGTGTATTTAATGACTAAACTTTAATATCTTATTCTTCGAAACAAAGTTCAGTTACCCCCTTTTTGCTTAGTAGGGCAGTATATTTTTCCATAATTAAGAATCTACCTCTCTACATCACTACTTGCAATTTAAAAGATCTAGACCACCCTTGTCTGTTAACCGACAAACGCATAAAAATTCGACAAAAGCAGCTTACTTTTCTTGCCTGAAGTCTAAACCAAAAACAACTACGACATTCAGGCTCCTTGTCGAAAAATTAGGACGCGCCTAATTACCGAATTTCTACGCCGTATTTAAGCCATATTCGAGCGCGAGCCATATTTCAAAAAGTAAACACTGAGTTCCCTGTGTAGAAGATTCATACGTTAGCCTCAAAATAATTCCACCAAAAAGATAAAACGTACATCTGATTTAGTGCTTTCTTTCAGTTTTATAAAATTTATAGCACGAAATGACAGCTTACTTAAATTACTATTCTAAAATCGAGACAGCACGTGCCAGAATATATTATTACGATGCACTACTACCGGCCTCTAAAAGAAAACCTTTTTCTTCTTTTTCTTTTCATAGTGTTATCTTATTTTAAAGAATTCAATTTTCTTACCGGATTTTTTATAAGTAGCTATGCCGTGTGATGCGCAGGAATGACAGAATTATTTGAAAGAGGGTTAATTCCCGTACAATATTCATCTTGGCATACACTTTACATTTAGAGATCAGTACAAGATTATTTCACATTAGAAAGATACTTTTTATTACAAATAAAACTACCTATAAAACTAGGTCTACAAGCGATTATAATTTACTGTAAAATGAAATACTTAATGATTTAAAAGGTGTACAAAACCATATTTTTTACAAAATTTGATATTAACTGTTTAAAAATGGTTATACCTGTAAAATATATTTCATAAGATAAACAAATCATTTTTAATATATTTAAATAAAGTTTTAAATTTTAAAAATCCTTAGTCTCAGCTTTTAATTGTTCATAAAGAGAAGTAGTTTTCACCAATTAAAAATATGAACCAGTGTGCACGATGAATAACAGAATGGGAAGTCATCACTTGTGACATAGGAGTTGAATGAAAAAGTTAATGAAAAATTCAAATTTCAGAAAATCCAGCAATTCAATTTAACCACATTGCATGACTCTTTTTCACAAATTTCTCGATCCCTCTTACATAAAATAATGACTGAGCATCCTGGCTATAAAAAAATGAAAAACCGAATCTATACACAAGAAAAATGATGTCAACTGTTAAAGGCTAAAACAATAAATTCAGAAGTCTATTGCAAAATCCTTCAAAGACAACGTGCAATACAGAATAAACAACGTGAGCTGGTTTTGAATCACGACAATTCTCGGTTCCATGCATCGGCAAGTACGCAACAAGAACTTCAGCGTTTAAAATGGTAAATTTTAGAGCACTCACCCTACAGTCCAGTTACCGAAACTGAAAGAATTCTTGGGTAAAAACTACAAATAGCTCAAAGATGAAATTGTATCCTGGCTCAGACGTTTGGCAATCAATGACTACAACACCAGCATCGAAAAACTGATTCTATGGTACAATAAATGCCTTGACAACTAAGGCAACTACATTGAAACATAGCCATAAACTATGACTTTTTAAGTCAAAGTATCTTAGGCTTAGCAAGTTTTGTGTTTATATCTTTTATTAACATTTTCTGCCAAAAGTATTTTTATGGTGATTTTTTGCGGGTCTTTAGAAATCGGAGGTTATACAGTATTTTACCGTGAAAAAGTAAACTATTTGCATTTGATTCGTATAAATTGAATAATGATGAATCCACAAGAAACCAACATACCGAGTTTAACACAAAAACTAAAACAAAATATTACAAATTTGATTAAATGAAAACAGTAGCAGGTTGTTTACAAAGATTTAGTATTAGCAGAAAGCAGTGGCGGAGCTAGCCATTGGCGGGGGGACTTCCAAAGAAATACCAACCAAAAGACATAAAAAAGATAAACCCAAACTAAATAAAAGACATAAATAATAAGTTTTCTTTAATTTTGGGCTCTTCTGGAATCTTGATGGGATGAATTTTCCTTTTTTCACCCCCTGTGTATCCGACCCTGGCAGAAAGTTTTTATTTAACCCTGTCATGAGTAAATTTTATTATTTTGGTTTACATCAACCTTTGTATAAAAGGTCTTTACATATGAAATAAAATATATGTGTTGGAATAATTAGGCTACTCTTGAAAATTGTTCCTAAATGCAGGATGTCATTAGCATAGCGTCTGTTAAATATTTCGGAACATGTACAAAAAATTGAGAATTTTCGTAAATTGTCTGTAGTAGGCAACCCTTCTAGCTAATTGATGGGCCCCTTTCGAGGGTAATTAAGAAGGCGGCTTCTAAAGAGATATTACACTAAAAATTAATTGAAGATGTTTCTCAATTGCGTACTGACGCCGTTTATTTAATTTATTTGGGGAGTCAGATGAATTATGACTTTTACCCAAGTATTTCTAAGGGAACGCAAATGTGCTTTAATTATGCGAAGTAAAATTAAGGCAAAGTGTAATTATATTTCTTCTTTTTTCCTTTCTTACTCTAAGTAATTCCGCTTGTTTACTGGCGGATTATTACCTACCTATATGGGAGGTTGTCACTCCATCTTTTGGGCGGTCGGTCGATACTTTTACTTTTTGTTGATTTATCTCTTGCTATTTTGACCACTCTAGTCAGATCTGTTCTAATTATGTGAATATTTCATTATTTGTCTCTTTAGTACCCACTCGTTTTACTCTGTCTTCCAAATATGAGTGTATTAGATGAACATATTCATGGAAGTTATCTTTTTAGTTTTAGTAACAAGCCTTTGTGCCACACTTTATTAAATGCTTTTATTATGTCTAGGAAAATAGCTGAGCATATTTTATTCTCTTCTAGAGATTTATCTATAATATATGTTATGCGCTTTTTTTGGTTTATTAAAGAAAAAGGAAAGGAATAATTTCCTTGTAATCCAGTATAATAGGTCGTATTCTTACTAACCATATCTTCTCAAATAATTTGGAGATTCTGGAATATTTGCATTTATAAGTTTGTGAGTTTTACGATGGCCTTCCTAAATAATTGTAGTATTTGTAGTTAAGCGATTTATATTGTTTTTGATTACTTTGTACACTTCTTTAAAAGTATTAGCCTATATTATTCCTTGATCAGTATTGTTCCCATCGTATTCAATACTCTCATCATCATCGTCTTAAATTTGATTATTATTTTACATTTCATTATTTTGGAAAACATTCTCCAAGTATAAAGTGAACAGATTTGCTGTTTGTTTTCCGTCACGTGTCCATGTACCATTTTCTTTTCTAACTGTCGGAACTTGTTGCGTTGGTCTAATTATTCTTTTTGTATATTTCCACAAAAAGTGGTCAGTGTTTTCGTCATCTGTCAGATCGTTTAGGTATTGGTTTATTGATTCATTTTTGATTAAATCTATTTTCCGTGTTTGCTAAGGTTATTTAATACATTTTTATTCTTGCAGTTATTTTTTTTTCGTCATGTTTTCGTTTTCCTGGCTTTTCTTTTTCTTTGCCCCAGTTCTCATACTTCTTTTGGATAATGTTGATCTTTGATTTTTCCTATAATTTGTTTAGTATTATTACATGCTGCTTGTTGTATACGTATAAATTGTTTATTAGTTTTGATTTGTACACTTGGCTTAATTCTGTCTAAAACTAGCCCTGTCATGTTTGATATTGGTTAAGGTAGGGTTATTTTCTCTTATTATAAAATGCTCACTGATTGTTAGTAGTATTAGAGAGTGATCAGAAATGTGAGCTTTTTCCATTTTCATAAAAGTTATTTCAACTTTTTTTTAAATAAATAGGTCAATTAAGTCAGGTGTTTTTTTATCAGTGGGTCAATATGTGAGTTTATCAGTTGAGTGCCATTTTCCATTTATTTTTTCTATTGCTTTATGTAATTCTCTACCCTTGTATTGCTTAATCTTAAACCCCATACAGTGTTTTTAGCGTTAAAGTCTGCACCCATGATGAATTTTTCTCCAAGCGTGTTGAGCAAGTGTACATTTTTTTAGATGATGTTTTGGAGGAAAATATGCCGCTGCTATTGTTACCTCATATTTTTTATTTTAACACTTATACTAGCTGCCTGGATGGCTTTAGTCTCTATATTTTTATTTTCAAAGAGAATTAGTTTATTTTTTACCATTACTACTGCCTCTTCACTAGCTTTGTTTCTAGGGTAAAAATCTTGATATATTTGGTATCTTCTCAGTTTAATGTAAGTTTGTTTTATGACGTGTGTCTCTGATATTAAACATATATCGAATTTATAATTGTTTAAGGTCAACAGTATCTCCTGCTAATATTGCAAAAGGCCATTTGCGTTCCAATGTAATATTCTTACCTCTTCCGCCATTTTATCTTCTACTATTTTCTATGTTAGTTACTACTAGTTATTTCTTTCGAAATTCGACTACGTTTATCAAAATGCTACGTCTGGTTGACTCTTCTTTATGAAGTTTAATCGAGAACCTTTAAAGCATCAACTGTAAATAATTCAGAGATCATACCTAGGCCATATACTGAGTAATAATAAGTACCAATATGCTCAACTACTAGCAAAAGTAAAGATCGAGGGAAAGAGGAGACCAGGAAGGAGAAGACTGTCGTAGCTAAGGAACATCTGACAATAGATAAGGTTAAATTATGAACAGATAATAAGAACAGCTGCAGACAGAGAAGAGTTTGCAATTGTAGTAGCTAACCTCCATTGAGGAGAGGGGAGTTTAAGAATAAGTTTCTATACTACTTATTTTTTCTAGAATTTCTTTTTCTTATACTAGAGTATATTAACACAGCATTGTTGTGTCTGATTGACCTAAAGAAAGCGTTTGACAGAGTAAGACTCAAAGATCTAATCCATCTTCTCTATAATACAGAAGTTATCCTAAATATTATAAAAGCTATCGAAAATATCTACCAAAACAACATAATGGAGGTCAAAATAGATGGACAACTTACAAAACCTATTGAAATAGGCAGCGGAATTAGACAATGAGATTTATTGAGTCTCATGGATTTCCTCTCCATGGAGCCCTCTTTAATTTTATCATGGACGAAATCTTCAAAAGCGTTAACAAAAGAAGAGGATACAGAATGGGAAACAAAGAAATAAAAATACCCTATTACACAGATGACGCAATATTGATGTCCCAAGATAAAGATGGTCTGCAACAATAATAGACAGCAAAGAACCAACCAGATGTAAAAAAAATTGATGGCATCAGTACTGAACAAGTAATGTAAATAAAATGCCTGGAAATTACACTGTCTAGTTATGGAGACCTGGACAAAGAAGTAAAAGATAAGTACAAAATTGGCAGTATGCTATATGGCGAAAGAGTACTGAGAAGAATTACAAGAAATACGCTGAAAATCGAAAGAGAAGTGAAAACATTAGAAGAATATGTAAAGAACAGTGTATAAATGAATGGACACAACATAGAAAACAAGAATGGAATAACCACTTTAGCAGAATGGAGGAAAACCGTGTCGTGAAAATAGCAAGAGATAAATCACCAATCGGCAGAAGAAATATCAGACCACCACGCAAAAGATGAAGTGACAACCTTCCATAGAGGTATTAATCCGCCAATGAACAAGCAGAATTGTTTATAAAGAGGAAGAAGAAAAAGAGCTTTTTTTTGTTGAGTTCTTCTTCATGCGTTCTATTAGTATATGTAGCATATTTGATATCGAATTGACGTCATTCTCCACTATTTGTTTTTGGCTCATTCGAGGCTATTTGACTGTATGTCTGGATTTGGTTAACCTCTCTTGGATGGTTTTGTATAGGATTCTTCATATCTGCTGCATTGTTTTGTATTGTGGTTGTAGGTTTCGGTTTGTTCCGTAATTTTTAAAGAGCTATCTTCTTTTTAGGGTACTCTATCCAATCAGTGGATGTTGGCGACAATTCTGGCATACTCCTCTCGATCTTGTGTGGCTCTAAAGAGTGCATGAGTATCGAAGTTTGTCCAATCCCTTATGTTTTTAAGCCATGAGTATTTTTTTCTTCCAATGCTCCGTTTTCCTTTTATCTTCCCTTCTATAATAAGTTTTAGGAACTGGTACTTGGAATTTCGTAATATATGACCCAGATAAGCAGTTTTTATTCCATTTATTAATGGCAGCAATTCTCGTTCTCTGCCCATTCGATTTAATACTTCGACGTTTTGTTGTGTGATCTGTTCAGGGAATTTTAAGTATTCTTCTAAATACCCACATTTCAAAGGCTCCCACCGGTTTATCATATTGGCGTTTATGGTCCAGGTTTCTACACCATATAGTAGTATGGAGTAAATGTAACATTTTACATGTAGTTTCCAGTCCTACTCTCACAGGTGCCACTTGATTTATATAAAGGTTCTTTATGATTTTAAGGTCATTCCCATCTATCGAACGTTTCTGGGACAATCTTACTAATTCTGAATAACTAACACAATCAAACGCTTTCTGGTAATCTATAAAGCATAGGAAGACATATTTTTGCTGATCTCTGCATTTATGAAGTAGGACAGTTAAGCTATAAAGTGCTTCTCTTGTGGCAAATCATTGTTTGAAACCGAACTGTGTGGGGCTAATGTCTCTTACACATCTGTTGTATATTTTTATGTGAATTGTCTTTAAGAAGAGTTTTAAGACCTGACTCAATAAGCTGATCAAGATTTATCAAGGTGTCTATATTGTCTTCACTCAACATTGTTAGAACCTCTATGTCTATGTCGTCTGGGCCTGACGCTTTTCCCTATTTGCTCTGTTTGATTGCGCTTATCACTTCTGACTTCAAAATTTTAAGGGAGGGTTCACTTTTAGATTCACTTTCAGAGTTTCTTCTAGTGTTGTGTGAGTAAAGTTGCTGTGTGTAGTTTCTCCAATGTTGAAGTAGATCCTTCTGTATCCTTTTGTATGTTTTGTAGTATATCCTTTTGTATGACCTGTCACTTCTTTAAGGAGTTTATGTATGTTTTTTTCAATTCCTCCATTTCTGCACACCTGTCTAGTAGCGACTCTTTTTTAGCTTTGCGATACTCTTTTCGTATTTGTCGGTTAATCTGCTGATGTTTGGTTCGGTCCTTGTTTCTAAATTATCTGCGGTCGTCCATCATTGATAATATTTCGTCAGTCATCCAAATGTTCTTTTTGTACTTTTGGGAAGCGGTCAGAGACTTGGTGGTGGTTACGATAGCGTTTTTAATACAATTCCATTTGTCTTCTATACTGGCCGGTTGTTTAGATCTTGCCGTGATATCCGCTATTGCCTCATTTTATTTTTCTGTGACTTTTAGTGTAACGTTAGGTTGTTTTAAGCTGTTTATATCAATTTTCTTTAAGGATTTTCTTTTAATTTTCTTAAGCTTAATTTCCAATTTTCCTACTACGGGATTGTGATCAGATCCGATATCTGTTCCAGGGTACGTTTTTACTATTTGCAATCCATTTCTGTATCTCTGATTAATCAATAAAAATCAATTTTATTTCTTACGATGTCGTCATGCTTATGTTGTGGAGACTGCCAGGTGTAGAGTCTCCGAGGTGACAGTTTGTACCATGTATTCGTAATGACTAATTTTTCTTCTTGACAAAACTGGATTAGTATATCACCTCTCTCGTTTTGATCTCCCAAACCAAAGTCACCCACGACATCTTCAACACGTCCTTGCCCTACCTTCGCATTGAAATCTCCCATGATTATAAGACTGTAGTTCTTCTTCTAAAGAGTTATAGCAGTGGTGTTCTGGCAAGAAATTCAAACAAACTGAAAAAAGTACTTTGCAGCAGGAACATTTCAATTTCTTTAAAGATAAAACTTCTGAGATGCTACGTGTTCTAAGTATTATTTTATGGGTTGGAGGCTTGGACATTAAAGAAAGACATTTCGGACAGATCAGAAGCCTTTGAGTTATGGGTCTACAACAGGAAATTAGGAATAAGTTGGGTAGATAGAGTCACGAATGTCGAGGTGTTGATAAGAATGGGAAAAGATAAAGAGGTAAAGTAAGAAAACTGAAATATTTGGGACATGTCATGAGGAGCGAGCATTATAACTTGTTGCAATTAATAATACAAGGAAGATACAGGAACTGCACTTTTGCTGACTTCTTTAGAGCAGCAGTGCGATCGAAAGTGCGAATTGTCATGATGGTTGCCAACCTTCTTAGAGAAGATGACACGTGAAGAAGAAGAAACAGTGGTGTAGCGTCTATAACTAGCTGAGTGGTTACTACTGCAGTGGACACATTTAGGTTCCGTATTTTGTTATAATAATACGCTTATAGGCTTTTAACAATCTTTTGTTATATGTTTTTTAATGCATTTTAAACATCTCGGTTTTCTTCTGTAATAATTTTGTCTATATCCATACTCTTGGCATCGTTTACATTGTGGAATCAAATTCTGTTTTCTGAAAGCTTCTATGGTCACTTTTATGTGTAAAATTTCGATAATTCCATATACTTTTTTATATTTTTCTCTTTAATTATATAATATATTATATATAATATAATATAATAGTGTAAAAAGTGGCAGTGGTGATTTGTCCTTTCCTTTTAGTTATTGGATTTTCTATTTTATACACTTTATTGTTTATATTTTCCCTATGTCATTAGCTTGGCAAGTTTTCTTAAAACCAATTTTAGAGGCCTTTTTGTCTATCTTCAAACG